GAAGCCTATCAATATGTTTTTTAATTTTCTCCCGAGAATTATATTTCAAAAGAATTATTGCGTTACATTAATCCAAATAATCTGTACAATTACGTCTGAAATTATCGTCGCCTTCGAGCAATTTTTAAAGAACTTCTCAACCGTGATTTTCAACTCTAAAAATTGACTATTAGAAAACTGTCGATAGACCAATTGTTAACGCAAATATAGACTCAAATTTTACAAATTTTACACGTATCGTATGAATGCGAAATATAAATGAAGAAATTAATATTAATCGAAGTCAGATCGCTGCGATGGAATACTTGACGATCTTGGATATTTATTTTAATTATTTGCGGATTTATTAAACAATACAGCAAAGTAAATATTGAAACAGCGCGCAGTCCTTTGAATTTAACGACAGCAAAGATCATGTAACAGAGTTCTACCGGCATCGAGAGAGAGAGAGAGAGAGAGAGAGAGAGAGAGAGAGAGAGAGAGGAAGGGAGAGAGAGGAAGGGAGAGAGAGAGAGGAAGTGAGAGAGAGAGAGAGAGAGGGAGAGAGGAAGGGAAAGAGAGAGACAGAAAGAAAGAGGGAGAGAGAGAGACAGAAAGAGAGGGAGAGAGAGAGAGTCGCATGAACTTTAAAGTCGTCCAAAGGGAAATATAATTTCCTATCGGTCTCGAATCGTGGAGCGCAATTATCACGTGGACATCGAGAGAGAGAAAGAGAGAGAGAGAGAGAGAGAGAGAGAGAGAGAAAGAGAGAGAGAGAGAGAGAAAAAGTCGCATGAACTTTAAAGTCGTCCAAAGGGAAATATAATTTCCTATCGGTCCCGAATCGCGGAGCGCGATTATGGTCGGCGTGCCCGGAAATTCTTAGGGGCGTCATACGGTTGCCCGAAGTCGCACCTGAGAAGCTTCATCTGGATCTCCCCGTACCACTCTATCGAATCGCATGACAAGATCTTCCCTTTCAGGTTCCTTCGTTTCGTCGGATTTCTGGAACGGTTCGATCGCCATCTCTCCTGACTTTGGCTGTTCCTTGGCCGGCTCTTTATCGTCATCCTGATGCCCCAGAAATGAAAGCCAGCAGCACGGTAATCGATACGGCCCATTATGTGGCATCGACAATAGCGACTGACGACTGTTCGAATGGCCATAAAGATATTCATTCTCGACTGCGACACGGAGTCGTCCGCAGACTAATTCGGCTTCTAAATAATATAATAAACCTCGGCTTCTTCGTTGAGATTGTAACGGATCGACGGACGAAATTTGGAGAACTCGGGGAGACCGTTGACGATCTATGTTCGAGTTCACGTGCAACCACGTCTGAGAGACGTGGTCAGATAATCAGGCCAGAAATGATTATCACGTCTGAGAGACGTGGTCGAAACGAAGGGCCAGAAATGATTATCACGTCTGAGAGACGTGGTCGAAACGAAGGGCCAGAAATGATTATCACGTCTCTCAGACGTGGTCGAAAAATCAGATCGATTTTGGTTGACCTTCGTGGATTGACCCCTTGCCTATGGGCTCAAGTTTCCGTAGAAATCGAATCACAATTAATCGCAGTTACTTCTATCTATTATAGCGGAATAAGAACAAATCTGGCGACGCGATTGTTAAAATCTTCAATGTTCCGCGTAGTCGGCGTTAAGCACTCTCGTCGATGAATTCACATCATGAATTCACCTAGTTGAGCGCAAATGAGTCATTTAACCGCGAAGGTTAAAAAGCACTCGAAACGTAGAGCGTCCTTTCGAGAAACAGAATTGTTTGTAAAAATCGATGCCGGCCTCGCCGGGTCGGATACGAAAATTCGAGGACATCGTAATCGCCGTGACTTTTTTTTTTAAAAAAAGAAGAACAATTTTGTGTCGTTACGATTCTTTAAAACTCGCATTATTAGAAAATTTAGGTAACCGTGATTTTTAAAGGGGAGAAGAAATTGGCGTTCGTCTTTAACGAATAACAGTTAAAATTTGTCGAAACACGATAAAGAAATTACGGAAATGCGAACCGCATTACATCGAGCTGCGCAAATGCAATAATTCCGCGGCGTTACTTCGATCTTGATTCGCAACGAATCGTAATCTTTCGCAACTTTCCTTTCGTTGTTGCTACTAACTCGCGCGTGAATGTCAAAATCAGCTGCTTTTTTTCGCCGGCTAAACAGACGCGACCTACTTTCCCCTTTTTATGCGTCGAACGATCACGGTGGTCAGGCTTCTCCATGGAACAAGTGCAGGAAACGATTTTTCGGGCAGGGTCGGCGAACCGAATCGTACGATTGTCGGTCTGTCGCGTAAAAATACGTCTCTCGTTCTCTTGGCCGCGGAATTATTTAAAATTCTATTCTCGATGTTTCTGCTGTTCGCGGCAGAACTTCGTTTTGCGGAACATTTTCGTCCGCTCGTTCCGCGGCAGAGAAGACGAGCAATTAGAAATAAATTGCAGTAGGCTTTGTAGTCGAGGTTAAATTCTGAAGCAGTTGATCGCGCAGGCTAATTATAACTAACGAGGAAAGAGTGAAGCTCGGAAACTGCAGCGAGAGAGTGCACGAGAAAATAATTTGCTATTTTTTCTTAATAGCACAGATTTATAGCGCCGATTCGATTCGCAATCTATCGACGCGAATTCTAAGATACTTTCGAAACCTGCCTTTCGTTTGTCGTTCCAATTACAGTAATGTCTACCTCTACTGACGCTCAGATTGTGCATAAAAGTGCACAAAAATGGACAATTTGGGAAGAGGAGATACGATTAATTTGAGCCTTGCGCCTCGTTTTTATAATTACCGATTCTCAGCAACTATAAAAACGAGCCGCGAGGCTCGAACAATCGTATCTCCTCTTTTTGTGTACAATCTGAGCGTTAATTAGGGAGAATTCACTGTACAGTAATGTCTCCCTAACTGACGCTCAGATTATTCACAAAAATGGACGATTTGGGAAGAGGAGATACGATTGTTCGAGCCTTGAAACTCGTTTTTATAGTTGTTGACAATGGATAACCATGAGAAACGAGCCACAAGGCTCGAACAATCGTATCTCCTCTTCCAAAATTTGTCCATTTCTGTGGACAAACTGAGCGTCAATTAGAGAGACATTACTGTAACCCTCGCGCGTTCTTTCTACGCCGATTCGACCATCTTTCGATCTTTCGCGTACCGCAGAATTATCTCCGCAATTATTTTATCATTAACCCTCTGCACTCGAAGTCATTTTAACTGTAAATCTAAAATAATGTTTCTGACCCACGCTGTCTCTATCTTATACGACAGTGCGCATTTTACGCGTGCGAAATCGTGTCTTGCGACTTATACAACAGTTTATACTTTTAACAATTGTACAAATCAAAATTTTGTCGATGTAAGAATTATTTTGGAATGCGATACAAACATTTTCTAGCGGTGCCTCGGAGTCACCGCTCGAGCGCAAAGGGTTAATTACTTCATTTTTATTTAAAGATTACTTTCCATACGATTTTGTACGACTCGAGGATCAAAATGAAAAATAAAAGAACGCATTTCCCACGAATGAAAATATAAAAACGAAACGTAAGGTTCGAATAATCGTATCTCCTTTTCCCAAATTGTCCATTTCTGCGGACAATCTGAGCGTCAATTAGAGAGACATTACTGTAGTTCCAAGCGATCGACATAACCTTAAACTAGTAAATAAATTTTCTCTAATTGATGCTCAGCTTATAAACATAAATGGACAACTTGGGAAGTGAAGATACGATTATTAGAGCCATGTAGCTCGTTTTTATAGTTCTTGACAATTCGTAACTATAAAAACGAACGGCAAGCCTCGAATAATCGTATTCTCCTCTTCCCAAATTCTCCATTTTTGAGCGTCAATTAGAGAGACATTACTGTAGTTCCAAGCGATCGACATA